CAGCACCTATAGCTCAAATGGCTAACGCACCAGCCACATACACCAGAGCTGGGGGGTTTGACTCCAGCCCAGGCCTGCCAAACAACAATGACAACTACAACCAAAAAATAGCCAGGCGTTGTGGTGGGCATCTGTAGTCCCAGCTACTTGGGAGACTGAGGCAAGAGAATCACTTAAGCCCAGGAGATGTTGGTGCTGTGAGCTGTGATGCCACAGCACTCTACCCAGGGTAACAGCTCGAGGCTTTGTCTCAAAAAAAAACTCTTCCTTTCTTTTTCATTTTGGTCTACCTGAATGCCTCTGAAGTCTCATTTTATGTTTGTCAACTTTATCCCAGATTTATCTACCATCTTCTAGGGTAACTATTCTATACTGGGAGTTGTACCAGAATTACTCAGAAAGTATTTACAAAATACTTACATGAACAATCCCATTCTACCAACCCTTCCCAATATAAATACACCTTCACTGGCTCTCTCATGGGTTACTAAAATCTCTGGGCAGAATAAAGATTTTGAGAAATATCCCCAGATGATCTTCACATGCTACACATAACTCACTTGCTTTGGAAGATAAAGGTTCAATTTGCCCCAATGATAAAAATCATTGAAAACATATATACCCATAGTTCATATATTAAATAACTCTCAAGTCTCAAAATATCTCCCCTTGCCAAACATACTAGAAGTGTTTGGTTTGGTTCCTATGTGAGATGTCAAAAAACAGAAGGTAATATTCTACGGTTATTCCCTTTTAGCCTTCAGCATGACTGTTCTATAAGCCCTGTAAATCTCTAGTAAAACAGCTTCGGTTTCACTTTAAATTTTAAAGACACAGTTAGAAGCAAAGGGTCTTCAATCTATACGAAAACAATTTAAGGCACACAAAAGAAAACTAATGCCAACACTGAATGAAAGTGTCTGATACAATTATATTAGTCATTCATAACAAAAATATTATCCAGAAATAAATACAGAAAGCATGTATCAACATATACAAAGTGATATTCACAGATCAGTTCAAACTACCATTCCTGGGGTTTACCTGCAGTTGTTTGGCAGAGAGATCTTTTGTTCCTCTGAAGACATAGCTTTTTGAAATGCCTTCACATCCAAGTTCATGAACCTGCACCATTCTCCCAAAAGTAATAAGTCCAACCAAAGCTGTAGGTGGTAGAAGACTTAATGACATCTGCATGGATTCTTTTAAGGCCTGTAAATCTTCATCTTCCATGCAAGTATCAACCACATAGAGAAATATCAAAGGCATCTGAGGACCACGCTTTTAAAAAGATTTGCCATAACAGGAAAAACTGAAGTTATTTTTAAAGTTATTAACAATTAAATACAATACATAAAAGTCAATATAAAACTAATTAAATAATATATACAATGAAATCCTAATAAAGTCATTTCAGAAGTGAAACAGATTACAAGTGCTGTCATGGAGAGCTTCTAAGACATATCATCACTGACTGAAAAATTAAGTTTAAAAACATCGTGTAAAGTTACACAGAGGGGATTTACACTTTCTACCTTATTTAACTGTATACGGTTGTATTTCTTATACTGAGTATTTATTAATTTTAAAATAAGGAAATACACTCAGGAAGCTGAGGCAGGAGGATCCCTGGGGCCCAGGAGTTTGAAATTGCTGTGAGCTAGGCTGACGCCACAGCACTCTAGCCTGGGCAACAGAGTGAGATTCTGTCTCAAAAATAAAAATAAAATAAAATAAGAAAATAAACCAGACATGGTGGCTCATGCCTGTAATCCCATCATTTTGGGAGACCAAGCCAAGAAGATTGAGGTTCTAAGAGTTTAAGACCAGCCTGAGCAACAGAGTGAGACCTCATCTCTACAAAAAGAAAACTTAGCCAGGCATGGTGGTGCATGACCAGAGTCCCAGCTATTTAGGAGGCTAAACCCAGAGAACGGCTTGAGCCCAGGAGTTCAAATTAGATCACATCGCTATCAGCCTGGGCAACAGATATAACCCTGTCTCTGAAAATAAATAAACAAATAAATAGTATAAAAGAAAATAACAACTATAAAATTTTAAAACAAAGTGAGGTGATTTTTTATGAAATAATTATCTAAATGTGAATTGGATTTTCAGAGAACTAGGAAACCAGACAGAGTGGACAAATAACTAAACAGCTCAAGTGAACCAGAATTCTATTTCCTCCATTTATGAGTGATATTATTATTGCCACATTTAACTGAACAATTATATGAAGCTGTTTAGAGAGAAGAAAAATGATTTTCCTAACAAGGACAAATGCAAGAATATTTACATTAATGAGATAATTAGATGTGGGGGTACATCAGCACTTTCTAGCATGACATTGACTAAGAATTTATAAACTGACCTTCCAACTATAAAGCAAAGCTGATATTTTATTGATCTATTTAATATAGCAAATCACATCACCCTATCCAGCATCCTGGCAACCTAATCAAAGAGCTACAACAGAGAAATTATCTTGCTCAAGCTGAACTTGATAGTTCTTACCTTTGAAATACTCTATGGAATCAACATGAGAAATAAGGATGATGCCTTTTTAGCCATCCCAATTTAACAATTATCTTAGTCTAAAGTAAATGACTGGATATTTAAAGCTTTCTTAAATATTGCACTTGTTTTCTTACCAGAACTACATATTCGATGCTAGAAAACTGAGGTAAAAGTTCAGCAGGTTGATTGAGTTCAGATATACCGGCATAAGTAGGTGGAAACTACAGATTAAAAAAAAAAAATGTTTAAGAAATCATTTGCCATAAAGAGTAATAAAATGTTAAACTAAAAATAATTATTTTCTTATTTATTTAAAAAACAGGTATTTTCATTATATGAAAAATAATTATCTTACATATCTTTTCTAATATGCATTTTTCTATATGACTAGTATTACAACATTAACATCTGCAATAGGGGTTTTCTTACCTGATTCCTTTGATAACAAAAGTTGCAAGCCCAGAGTTTTGCTCGATAATCCACTTGACTGTTTTAAGAGAAGAAAACATACATTAGCTGTTTTCAGTTCAATTGTATAAGAATTCTAGTGCCAATAAAATTAATTTCTTTCTTAAACATGAATGCATTCAAATTGATATACAAAGTGATATTTTGGCTCAGTGCCTGTGGCTCAAGCGGCTAAGGCGCCAGCCACATACACCTAAGGTGGCGGGTTCGAA